AGTAAAATCCCCCTTAGTGGTCCTGGATCAAAACCACAATGCCGTTCGATACAGAGACCAGATCCTCCAACTACATTTCCTTCTACTTCTAAGACGTCATAACCTAATTTTCCAGCAAGACAATGCTCGACCGCATGTTGCCAGAGTCTGTCTTGATTTTCTCACGGCAAACAACGTTCAGCCTCTGGAATGGCCCCCATATAGCCCCGACATGTCTCCCATTGAGCATCTATGGGATGAGCTGGACAGGTGTTTTAGGAAACGTCAAAACCCCCCAACTAACCGTACCCAGTTGATCGCAGCATTAACATAAGAATGGAACAACATTCCCTTAAGTCGAATAAATGTTCTCATGAATTCAATGCATAGGAGAATCCGTGCAGGGATTCGTGCAAAAGGTGCCCACACTAGGTACTGAAGTGTCATTTTGTTTTACGCGGGTATCCCACTTTGAGTAACTACTGATGACACGAGTGACGTCACACAGGCTTTTCTTTTACAGTATTGTAAAGAGTAGACTTGTCCCTTCATATTGTATTAAAATTTGTTCAAATTTCCAAAAATAGCATAGGCTATTGATTGCATATTTTAAATGTGCGTTTCTTTTTATGTTCAGTATATTACATTTCTCATTACATTTATTAAGATTAGGTACAGTTTTACAATGTGTGTTACACAATATTACGGTGACAGTTAGACTGTCAGGAAAGGGTTTGGCTACAGGTAAATAACAATTTGATGAGTGACCGGAGTTTTATCTAGCCTGTGTCTGACACAAAGAGCTGATACATGATACCGTATGGCTGCTATGAAAGCACAGCTGGACGTTCAGTATTTGTTAGTTGCATTTGGTTTTGTCTATAGCTCCCTTTCACCTGTATTTTCACACCTCGACGAGTAACGTAAATGCCCCGGGTGAGGAAAACTACGGTCAAGGTACGAATCTGTACAAAGTGGCTATGTTTACCTGAATATAGGACCGACTCTATATTTGTTTTGCATATTTTACAAGTGTCGATTTAGGTCGTTTAAAACCCTCCAAAACCCCCGAAAACACCATTTCTAAATTGCAGAAAGTATAGGTAGAAAGATAAGCTTAAAGATAAAGCTAAAATATTGAAAGATGAAGCTGAAGTATTGAAACATACTTACAAAATCAAGTTTATATCTCTAATCACGAAATTCCTCAATTTACACCAACCACGATAGCTATCGCACTACGATCGTCCATCGTCCGCACAAATGTGCGCAAGCAATGATCGTCCAAATTGTTATCGTTCGCACATCGTGCACACATCGTTCACACACCGTGCACACATTGTGTGCACACTGCACATTTGCTGTCTGGCTGCCTTGCAAGCTGTCCTACCATCTTGGCCTGTCTTGCTTATTTCATTTTTTATTTCTTATTGTCTTTTTACTACTCTCTCCTTCATCCTCATTACGTTGTTTTCACATTGTCTTACAATAGTCTCTTTTACTATACTACTATACTGATATAATTATATTCAGTTTTAAACCTGTATACAGTATTTCTGGAACTTGTTTAGCAAGCAGCCGGATATATAGCGGAACAGTTTACTTCCTCAGGTGACTTTGAGGTTTGGGTGTCAACATTCAACGGGTTTGTCCAGGGATTAGATTCATCACAAACAAAATACAATGTCTCGATTCAGTATGAGGTTGCAGATTCCAGAGATCCTATCAAAGACTCTTACTGTACTTGCCCCACTGGTAAGCGAACTGTTGGAATGTGTGCACATACTGCTTGTATGTTATACTTCCTGGGAAATGTTCAAAGCAAACTTCATCAGAACTATCTTCTAATATTAAGAAGTCAGTTGTTTGCTGATAAGGGGTATCGTCTGCGATAGCCCAGTTTGTAGAGAGTCCAACTAGTATTTTGAAGGTCTTTGGTGTGTGTCCAAGTCTAGCTAGGGAGCTAATCATTTATATATTGCCCCCACCATCTTGCTATGGGACGATGGGTGATTGATACAGAAGTATGGAAATAAACCAAAATCTTAATAGTGATACAAGTTAGGCATATCATGACAGTAAAACATTATGGTTGGAAAATGTGCATCTATGACCTAGATTTAGATAAATGCAAGCTTGTGTTGCAGAGATTCAACAGTATAGAAAAAAACACTT